TCTTAATTTCGATTTATGCGTATTTAAAGTGCTAAAATCCTAAACTAGCATCCGTACAACATTCAAGAGCTTCTCATGGTATGGCTGAACATCGAACCTTTTGCTGATTCTATCATGTTAAGGGCCTACTAAGAGCAGTTCAAGCTGTTGAAAAACTCAGGCATACTTCAAGGAGTCAGCGATACGAATCTGCTTCACGCCTTTTGGCAGCTAAGGGTACAGCAGCAACGTGATGGTTGCCCAAGATAGACGAGGAGAAGACGAAAATACCAGTCAGCAAAGAGAATTCAACCAGTTCTAAGCAGTGCAATGTCATTATAGCATGTCAGAATAAAATTCCACTGGAACAACACTGCCATTCAGAGCTAACATTCAGAGTTTGGAACATTTCTTCACTCAGAGAAAAAGTAGAGATAGCTAATGAGGCTGTCATGAACCGACCAGAAACGGTCGTACTCTTGCTAACAAAGAAATGGAGCCCTGAAATTGTAAATCTCTGCTGGTTGGAGCTTTTTTATTGAGGTATCGAATTCACGGCGCACGCTCAGGACTGGCTGACTGAATCGAAGCCTTTCCGAAAAAATTTGGCAATCTTCCAACTGAAGTTACAACAGACTAAAAAGACCCTTAACCTTGCCAAAATGAATGTGCTCAATAAAGGCGAAACATGTGTGTTTTTCCTACAGCAATTAGAATGGGCTATTAACGATGTCTCGACTAATGAGTCAATCATTCTGATAAGCGATTTCAACGCACATGTCTAAGCAGACATTAAAAATCGAAACGCATGATTCAAAACAAAGGCTCAGTGCTAACAACATGAAGTTACTCTGGTTTTGTGCAAACAACGCACTGTTCGTTATGAACACCTTCAAGTATCGAAACATGCGTCATTGTATCTGGTGTATGGAAGCTAACGCGCAGTAGTTGATGATCTGTTTGACAATTGCAGAGTGTGACTTGCATCTCTCAGAAGTGGATTTTTCATTAAGAAAGGCACCGAGACGCGAATTGATAATCATGTTAGAGTCATGTTCTTCTGTACACAATGGAGTATCATTCGACGACTTGACGGTAGAAGCAGTCAGAGAATTAAATGAGAGAAACAGCCTTTTCCCTTTACCAGGGCAAAACTTGGAGACAACATCGTGTAACGGTTTGATCAGAACGCTGCGATGACTGATAGTGTGGAAACTTAATGGCTTTTTGCTAAAAATTGCTTACTCTGAATTGCCGCCGAATAAGACGAGGTCAGAAACAAAATTCCTGGTGGACCCGAGAAGTTCAATTTGGTGCAAACGCGAATAAAGCTGCACTCAGTAGATAGTTTGAAAGCAAAGAACATGTAACTGGAATGCAGCACGAAAGGGCGCGAAGAGGCGGTAAAAGACGTAACCACGGCGAAAGCTGATTTTTGTGTAAAGTTCAGTGAAATGCCGGAGAAAATTTCCAGACGGAAAATACAATTTTCTGACTGATCATTCACCGCCTTTCTATTAGAAAGAAGGTCAACATGAATGTCTTGAAGAACTAGTCCGAACACCCACTCATTAAGCAAAAAAACACGGTTCGGCGGTGGAAACAGTAACTTAAGAAACTGAATCCATGGTAACGCCAGAAAAAATCCTCTGAAGAATATCAGGCAAATGATATTAGTTTTTCAGTAGATGAAGTCATAGAAGTTGTAAAACGTGTGTAAAGTGGCATGGCTGTTAAACTCGATAAAATCTGCCCTTTAATACATGAAGTGTTAAGGCAAGGCAAGATATGGCTAACACGCGTCTGCCAATAGGCAGTGACTGTAAAAAACACAAAAGCGGACTGGATAAAGGTTGCTGCAGTACCCTATTAAGGAAGAGAGATCATAGGGAGTGATTCAATTATCGAGGTATTATCGACGCTTCACATGAAAGGTTTAAGCAAGGGTGTTTGGAGGCAAAGGCGGCGGAACAGTTAGCTATGAGGTACAAAAAAAGCAGTAGGGCTTCAGGTCAGCTGACGCACCTCTGACGACATCTTCGCCAAACGCCAGACTGTTGAGAAATCGTGGGATTTCGTTCATCCAATTAAAATGTGTTTTGTTGACCTGAAGAAGGCCTGTGACTGGATCTTCCGTAACAAGCTAAGGACACGGCTGCAAGCATGGAATCGATGAACAGTCGCCTCGAACAATCTATCCCCTACGTGTTGATAACAGATGCTGCGTCAAAGTAAAGTCGAGACCTTACAGCGTTTACATTGGTATCCATCAAGACTGCGATTTGTTTCATCTCCTGTTTGTGATGCATAGGCATATGTTAGTTAATCACAGCCAGGGCGATGAGCATATCATCGTAGGAGAAGTGTAGACGAGAAGATTAGCGTTTGCGGAGAGCCTTGTTTTGTCAGCATCTTCTGATAGCCCGCAGCCTATGGTAAGGTTCGCAATTCAGAGAGATATGGCCAGGGTGCGTGTGAACATGTTTCAAATTAAAAGCCTAGTATTATTTCGTTATCCTGCCGTTGTGCTATGCAGACAAACAGAGAAGCATGGAGAAGTTCAAGTACCTCGGGGGAGGGCGTGTTTATTGGTGATAGAAAATGGGAAGATACGGACCAACCAAAAATTGAAATAATGAACATCGACCTGCGTTGATTTATCATAAACCATAGTAACTAATGTAAAACTGAGTCTGAAAACTAAAAATTCAGCGTTGCAATCGATCCTCACCTGCGATAAATCGTGGGCCATGATTGAAGAACTCTGATTACGGGTACTAACGACTGATATAGACTTTCTGAAATGAATCGTTGGGCTCACGTGTACCGACGTGGTCAGAGGTACGGATATCCTTGGTGCATTGCCGCTGGTTCTCCAAATTGAGAAGACGACTACTGTCTAATTTGGAACAGAATCCGTAACGATTTTGCGTTCCACGGTGATAAACTACCTTCAAGAAAAGCAAAGCTTGATATAATTGCCATTGGATATGACAGCTTCATTGGAGCATATTGGTAGCAGGAGTTCGAAGGCGTAGTTGTCAAATAGTACAACGGCAAAATGTATCGTTCGTTAGAGATAGGGTACATAGAAAAACAACTTGCATAGCTCAGTAGCGGTAACCTACTGACATGTTTTTTCTTCCATTCAATTTGTTGCTGGTTTGTTCCGCTATTACGTCTTCAAATATCTCCCCTTTTCGCCAATTTTTTTCTCTTCAAATAATCTTGCTGGACTGCTCCGAATGACTTGGTTTTTTACGACGCTGTTGTCTGCCACCACCGCTGAACGTACATTTCTGCTCTGCTTACGCAGGCTATGTGTTTCCGTGTCCTGTTTAGGAGTTTTCGTTCAGGAATAGAATACAATGCACCGGGATTATGTCGTTGTAGTAGGATTCCATTGTTATGCTGAAGACCCGCTAGCTTCTACGGGGAATCGGAAAATATCTCAGCATCTTTAATGTTCATTAACCGTCGTATCCTTTCATTAATATTCCTTTCGTAGGGAATCATTAGTAGCATGATACTATTAAAATTATGAGTGGTATACAGTTAGGCTGTGATAGAGTACGCTCTCCTCCGGGCCTAGCTTTCGGAATCGTTCAAGGATGTAAAGCTCTTGGTAGCTTGCTCCTTTCCCTTAACTCACTGAGAAATTTCTGTTTTTATATTTCTGATATTTTGCTCTTGTACGGTGAAGAGGTTCTAACATACAGCAATTTTTTAGGTACAGAATTTGCACAAGTTCTGATTTTACCGATACCCATGTGCGGGATCTATAATTAATGTTTCGGTGTGGATAGACTTGTTGCGGACAGTTTTTCTTAGGTCGTCTCTGTCCTTATACATAAAGACGTCCAAAATAAGAAGTCTATCATTTTCTTTGAGTTCGTTTTTTCACTAGATTTTCTCATGAATGTCGTTCACGTGTTCCCGGAAGTCGTCGAATTGGTTGCGACCGTGTTGCCATAGGATCCAGTTGTCGTCTACCCACCTATGTCATGTCTCCATACGATGCTCCCAGTGGGAACAGTTTTTTTGCAGTATGGGATCAGGGTGGCGAGGACAAAACAACAATATGGTATCAGCATTACCACAGTTATTTTACTCACTTTGTTTTCGCAGTAGTGTGAAGTTGAGGAAGTTAAGTTCAAATTATGAAGTTTAGTTTAAGATTTTATTTCGATGACGTCTTAACAGGTAAATATTGGCAATTAATATTTATTGCTTATTTAACTAGTGCTAAAAAAGTCGTTATTGGCATAAAAAGAGCGTGTAGCGTCTGCAGTTGTCGGGATCGATGGCCTACTTCCTCCGTTCAGTGAGGCATAACACTAAAAAGCATAGGCGAATCTTTACTGTACTATATGGAACATATTGCGTACTATACCCTAACTCATAACAGCATGAGACTTTCTGGATAGGTCGATCATTTTATAAAAGTCGACTTCGAATTCTCGAATGTCCAATTCCCACAAACAGGAAACTGTTTTTTTGCGTTCGTTGTAATTTTCGGAATCAAGATGGAATTTTGTGCTAGAATATCACTGCTTGTTTGGCGATGCAGGTTTTGCTCTCATATACTCCACGGCAGTTCGAATACCAGGGAGATACTTGGACACATTGCAAGTGCACGCTTAAATAAACTTGAAGCTACACAGAAGAAATGCACAAGTGAATAAATATTGAGTTTGGACGTGGATATTCGGAAAAAAACGCATTCTATTGCTTTCAAACGTGAACCAGACGTTACAGGAGTACGATATAGAATAAAAACAGGAAGTTGACGACCATTGAGAATCATGCACATGCACTGGATAGATACCAGTCTACTAATTTAACTGACCGATTAACTTCAAACTAAGTGTTCGACTAGATATTATATTACTTAGTTAAAATAAGAACGTTTTAACAAAATAATTTTACGAAAAAATCTTTTTACACCATATAACAATTAACAACGAATAAAGCGGGGATTTTGATTCATACTAAAAATTGTACGATCAGAATATGAGGCATTATATTTTCAATGCTGTCGCTTCAGTTTTGGCCAGCTGTCGGAAAAGCAGGTCCCGTAAGTTGATAAATGGTGCTTCCACACCAACATAAGCGACAAGAGCGATCAGATACGATATCATCGTTACCGACACAGCTCGATATATCTAAAACACATACTGGTTCAGCTTTCATACTGGCAAAGAATAATAAGTTACTTTATTACCAAAGCTAAATAAATGCATTAATACATGATGGAATGACATAGGCGTCAAATCACTGTCAGTATAGTTCGTTTGCGAATAAAAGACAATATTTATAGAGCCGTTTCTCACCTTTGCAGAAAAAGCAGGTTAAAGTTTCACTACTTGAACAGGTTTAAAAAGAATCCTACACTTAAACATAGGTAAATGACAAAATTACACACATCACTGAATAATAATCAAATAACAACATAATCAAACAAAAGAACCGGAACTATACATACAATTATTAATAAAAGTCTAGCCGATCTATTGAAATGACAGTAATATAATACATCGAAGATAAAAGGTAGAACGAATGTTCTGGAATTCTACCCTTGATCTGATAACTGAACTGCAGTGAGGAGCCCAAACTCAACGAGTTGGTGAGAGGTGAAACAGCAAGAAAAGAATGATTACTTTAGTGACAATGAAAATTTCAATCTTGGCTTCAAAATGGGTAGTGTTTTGTCAAATTTGGTAGCATGTTCAGT